ACACAATTCAATAGCGTAAATTTCCAGTTGAAATACAGTCGCATAAGTTCCTAGGCAGCTAGATATATCTCTCCTGGGTCTGCGACTAAAAACACCTGCACCAGAACCGGAAGGTGTTTTTGATCCATTTGTGAATTAACAACTATCTGCTCTTAATATTTATTTCTCCCGGAGGATCCAGTCCTCTCTACTCGGGAATAGTACTTCATAAGGCAGTTCGTAGTTGACAGTTGGAGGCATAAAGTCAGATATCATTTCCAGAATGATGTGACAACAGTCTGTTGCACTCTGCATTTAATTGATTTGTGCAATTGGCAATGTGCACAAGTCTGTATGCAGTCCATCTACTCTCTCTTTCCAGAAAAATGTAGAGGGGAGGCCAGATAGCTAAATAGTTTAGGTAATGAATTTATCATGTAGAAATTTGGTAGGTATCAAGATTCATAACGATTCAAATTACTATAGAAGCGTGACATAGAATAGGCCTTTTCATCATAAGACGAGCGTAAGCGTAGCTGTCATATTGAAATGGCGGTAATTCAAAACATTCGTACTGTTTTAATCGACAAAGGCTGGACAAGGAATATTATCTCTACAAACAAATAAATTATTGGAAAAAACCATTGATGGTGCTTCACTTGTTTATAATTCAGTTGAGGCTCATAATTGTGAACAATTAAAAAGGTGGGACGTCATGGGCGTCCGCAAAAAGGAAAAAAAGTAAGCTGATTGAGAGGTTAGGTATCAGCATTTGTTTACTATCTAAAAACATATAAAAAAAATAGTATTTACAATTTTATTCTCATTAATATTGTCAATTTATTTTATGTAATTGAAAATATATTTCAGTTGATAAGAGTATTACTTATGGAACTAATAAATAAATCAAGCCATTAATATTTTGAGGCTGTACATATGGCATTATTAATTAGACAAATATGTAAATACTGAATTGAATATGTTTAGTAATTTTCATTAGAGGGAAATATTTANATGATGTAGAAATACAAAATTGCTTTCTCTCAATCAGTGGTGACTGTCAAACTGTTGAAACTCTGTGAAAATTTTCCATGAAAAATGTAAAATAAATACATATCAGATTATTTCAGACAAGAAAGTCTAAGAAGTCCTGATGGGATTTTCGAATTTACACATTGTAGACTCATCGATTTCTGAAGCTTCTAAACGAAACAATGGAATTTCAGTCAAAATCATCAGTATGTGAGTGTAAAAAACGTTTTCGCTGTATATGACCTCTCAATAGACATAACAGGGGTAATTTCATTTGAAACGCACAATCGGTTAACATATTGAAAGTAATAACTTCAGATTGTCTTGCATTTAAAAAATCTGCACCAAAGAATATAACATATCTATTATCACTTGGTATGATCTCGGTATGAAATAATCCCTACTCAATGAAAAACGTGTTTTACTGGGACATCGGCATGATTAAACTTTTAAAAGTATGGTTGAGATATCTCCAAAGCAGTTTGGATTTACGTCATCATCACTCTCTATATCAAGAACATATTCAGTAGTGAAAGCTAGCCAAGAAACAGAGATGAATAACAGTAACTCTGTGGAGAGTAGCTACTTTTCATCTACTTTTTACTCTTCAAAGGATACCGGCAAATGAGCTGGATAATAAACTGTATTTATACAACCACCTCGATTAACAAAGAAATCGACGAATATCTGATCAGGATCAGTAACTATATTCTTCTCCTCAGATAGAGGAATATCACTTGAGACAGAAGAGTCATCACCAACATCACTAAAATAACAGCGGTCTACCTCAGGACTCAGTGCATGTGTCTTTGATGCACTCTTTAGAATAGAACAACCAGTAGAAGAAACACTGATAAGTTTGAGAAGAAAAGAAAAATTAACCTAGTCCATTCAAGTATTCTATCATGACCCGTTACTTAATGAAAATTAAATAAACTATCCATGATGATAATTATTATCTTGGATAGTAAAATATTCTATCAATCTTATCATTTATCTATTCTTCTATGCACCGACTCTTAGGAAAAATTCAAAATTCATCATAATAGATTACATTTTTGATGAGTGGGCAAAGTATTCGCTCAAATTGTATGGGTATCGGAGCTGGATTTTTTAAATTTTTTTCATTATACTTTCAATAATCGTACTCGATTTAAGTTTATTGATCTTTTGTTAGCATTACTTGGAACACAGGTATCAGAAAAACTCTGTCAGACATTGTCTTATACAGAACTGTAGAAATTCTATCTGCACAATGATTGATGTAGAAAACCACCAGTATGGTCTAAATCCGAAAATTATTGGAAAAATGTATCATTATAATAGGTGTGTTGCTACTTGAAGAAATCAAGTCAACCTTTTGGGATTTTCACTATAAAACTTGGATTCGAAAAATGACAAGTTTCAATATGTCAGTCAGATAACTTGACATTTTTATTTATCAGTCACGAAACTTTCTCAACATTGAACGAAAGTCATTTTTCATGGAGTAAAATAAGTTCGTTATTGATCTTCTTTGGAACCGACAGTGAAGTTCACAATAGAGATTGAACAAGATGGTCAACTCCCTTTCCTTGACGTATTATTGTAGAGGTCATCAGATCAGATTTGATACAACTGTTTATGGAAAGAAAACACATTTAACATATGTCTATACTACACATCAGCCATCATGTGAGTGTTAAAAAAGGTTTAATAAATTGTCTTTATAACAGGGCAAAAACGATATGCAGTTCAACTGAAAATTTCAATAAGGAAGTATTATTAAGAAAATATGTTCTGAAAGAGAACGCGTATCCAGATTCATTCATGAATTCAACGATAAATGCAATAGAAAAAAGAAGTCAATTGAAAACCAAATGACCATACAAACAGCATCACAAATTCAGCAACATCCAACTCCAGGATGAATTTGAAATAGAAATGAAGTTAGAACTTCTTACAAAACCAAAAATACAAAGAGATATATACTCACACATACAAAACCCAACAACACAGAAGATAAACCAGAAAATTGCATTCATGAGATACCTTGTTCTTGTGATGAAATTTATATTGGTGAAACTTCGAGAACATGAAAAGTACGTGAGAATGAACATCGAGATAATATCAGAAATAGACAATGAACAGGATCAAAACTGTCAGAACACATTTTTAAATCAGACAGAAAACATCAAGTTGAATGGAACAAGACGTGAATGATTGCCAATAAACCTCACTACAAGTGACAGCGTATATTCTCATATCTGGAGAGGAGTGTACGAGTATTTAGAACAGATCCTTAGAAATGGATCATACTTAGCTATCCGTCTTGAATAAAAATATGGATAGTGGCGAAATATCAACAGACTGGAGTCAGAAAACAACTAGTACTTGTACAGGAGTCAATCAACAACACTGACATAATTAAAATTTCAAAAATCCTTTGACATCTGTCAGCAAAGGAAGAGCTGCGTATAGACTCAAATAAATGTTGTTAATTTCTGAAGACTCAGGCAGATTTTGACCTCCAAAACGTTAAGATGAGTATTGTATAATTTCTCAGCTCTTTTTTTGATAGCGAAATTATATATGACAACTTACTGATAAATAGAAAGCCTTTCTTTGTGAAAAATACTTTGTTTCCTTTAATTTTCAGATTGATTCGGCCGTTACTTAATGAAGATCCATAGTAATTTCAAAAACTATACATCTCACGATTTGATCTCCACAAACTTTATTTGAAAAATATATCACAACATGTTTCACTATGTTGGTCAAACTGGCAGGACACTCAGGAATCGAATCCAGGAACATCATACGAGCTATGTAAATAAGAAAATAAATTCAACATATTCGAATCATTTTCTAGAAGAAAATCATGTATTTAACGAAGCGTTCGAAATTTTGCACGTAGAAAATAAAGGTTTGAAATTGAATCATTTGGAAGCTATGGAAATTAATAAACTTAAAAATTTAAACATTCTAATCAGTGATCAACTAGATTTGAATAGATCACCATTATTGAACTTGTTTTCTTAAAAACCGAGAAAGAATGATTATTGATGTAGATGCGGGGTAATATGCTTCAGGTGATCATAATTGAACAGGTACCTTAGGTAGAGATTAAGGTAATTTGAAAAAGCTACTGTGCTAGCGAAACATGTTGTGATATATTTTTCAAATTAAGTTTTTGAAAATGAAATCGTGAGGTGTAGTTTTTAAAATTACTATGGATCTTCATCAAGTAACGGCCGGACCGAATCAAAAATACTTTAAATTTACGCAGTCACTTATTGGTGTGAACTAAAAAGTTTGCCCTTTCTACACTTGTATGAAATTCTCCATTACAATTTTCGTATTTTTCAGATTTTCCAACATATCACAGAAATGTGAAATAATTTTTTCCCTATATGGAATAAGTGTTGGACCATTGGAACCAGAAGTGAGTTTTTCGCAAAAACTACAAAATCGGTACAAATGAAAAAAATGTTTTCAGTTTAGGGATGTATCTTTAAGTAAAACAAGATTAGGTGAGGTCGAATCATTCTACAAATATTGCGTGAGTCAACTATCCAGAAGTCCACTCTTTCTAGTTCGAAAAACGCCTAATGGAATTCTTCAATTAACATACTCTATGTTATAAAATCTGTGTTATAGTCCAAAAAAAAATTAAAAAATATTTTACTGGTGGCTCATTAGACGTAACAAAGGTAATTGTATTTAATACGCACAACCGGTTAATCGCATTCAATTTGCACTTGATGTATGAAACTTCACAACTCTGATAGTCCCATATTTCAAAAATCTACACAGAGAATACACAGTGTCTCTTGTCACCCGGTATGAAATAAACCTTACTCAATGAAACACTCGTTCTACTAGGACAGAATAATGATCCACGAAGCTTCGTGAAATCATTCGCAACGTAACGGAAAACTCTAAAATGAATTTCCCCAATTAACTATCCAGATATCTCAATAACTACCACAAGAATCAGAAACTCTTACCTCGTAAGAACGAGCAGAAAGATCAGTAACTCGTTACGGTCGTGATTCTATTGTCTGGCCTGGAACTAATATCCTGTTTGGATTCGTGAAATTGCAAACAAATGAGAGGAGAGGCACATTGATCGACTCGCAAGGGTTGCGGAGAGGTCTGCAGCCCCCGAGCGCTCCCCCTGTACTGCAGCTACCCTCGAGAGCCTTCACTAGAGTTTTGGGGGCGAGCCAAGAGCTGGCGCATGACTTACATCGCAATCGCTGATATTGTTGCGAAAAAGGGCATCGCCGAGTTTATTTGTTCGCTATAACTTTGCCAGAATTTTGTGGCCAATGCGTAATTAGTTGCTAGTTATGATGATTGACCAATATCTGGTTAGTATTTACGATTTCATTACTAGTTTTCGAGGGAGATAGATACTTATTTCCTTGCGTAATTTTTGTGTAACGCTGAAAATTACAATGTGTATTGATCATTTTTTATTGCCAAATTGCGATATAATGGAATAATGAAGTATCGAGTGTTTGAGTAACACTTTATTGTGGGATTTTCACTAAAACAGTTTACAAAACCACAACTATCTAGGTTCACGTATCAACCTCACTCCAAATGTTCAAGCAATTCAGAAAATAAATGGAACAAAGGAGGATTATTCGATTTTATTTGATCATTGTAATTGTTCTGAAAAATTGAGTTTAGAACCTTTTCCTGGTAGAAGATGATTTGCAAACGTGGAGTTAGTTTTCACATTCAAGCAATTTTCAATGTCCTCATTTATTCTGTGGAAAAAGTTTCTCTCAGTTTGACCAATATAGAGTTTGGGACAAAAACCATGAGTGAACTTATATACTTGGGATATATCCATCTAGTCTGTATTAAACACTTCTGAAAAACCTATTTTTGACTAATAGAAAAAAAGTTGTCATTTCGAACTTGGTTTTATTATCAGGTATTGATTAAAACAAAAGATATAAGTTTGGCTTGCAAAGTAATGTAACCATATCAATATGTTCAAACGTAATTACCAAACACTACAACCGAACTAAAAATTCATTAAGTTCAAATTTTGCTCCTCAGTAAAATTTCTGTTACTATAATTGTATTCAATACTTGGGTTCATGGAATCCTCGTGACATCCGCCAACATTCACTTATTACTAGTGTCCGACCGAAACTGGTTTTTACGACCGAAACCGAATTTCGGCAACGGTCTCAGTTTCGGCCGAAACCGAAACATCCTTACAAGGATTTTATGTTTTGAGCGAACAATAAAGAAAACATTATTATAATCAGTCAGTCTTTGTTTTTTATCTTTAAATCACAACGTTATGCAGTCTTCGACATTTTTACTTATTAATAATTAACAAATCAACATAACAACCCCTTATTAAGAAAAAATATTAATTGCACCTTAAAAATACTTATAATAGGTGAGGTGTTTATTTGAGTAGGTGTAGATTCTTCTTTTCAATATTATTAATTGTTTTTCAAAAATATTGAACATAAAATTACTTATTTAAGTTGTTACCTAATATCACAATTAATAGGTAGGTACTTAATTTGTATGTAATAAACGAAGTAAACCACAAAATAAGTCCCAACTAAGATGTCTAATCTTAGTCCCAACATGATTATGCACGTGGACACGACAAAATGTCTTCGTTGCTTCTGGTATTAAATTCAACGCGCCGAACATGACCGATCACAGCGCGAGAACTCCCGAATGCAATTTCGGTCGTAGTTTCGGCAGGTTTGCCACCGAAACCCGTTTTTTTGCCGAAACTCGACCGAAACCAAACTTTCGGTAGGACACTACTTATTACCCACTTAATCTACTAGCCGCTTACACAGTGCGCATCATAAGTGTTACTCTCCTATCTAACTCGTTACTGGACTGTTGTTACGAAAATCGTCGAGGCACGTCGATTTTTGATTTCTACAATGTACATTTACGTATGAACAGTTCCCCCCTAATTTCATTCCTTACTAAAAGGGGAGCAACCCTTTCGAAAAATTTAAATAGCAAGTGGTGGTAACTGATAGCTCATTTGATAGGGGGTTTTATTCTCCATTCAACCATGCAAAGGAATTGAAATTAGCCACATGAATTATTTGCGTAGATATAAACTGCACGTTTTTGAAGGTGTTTTTGGATGTTTGAGGATAAATGGTCAATACAAGTAACTGACATCACGGAGAGTGCAAGTCAATGAGAAATGCGAAGCAATTGTTATTTTTGGTGAGGCTCATCGCAATTATCATGAGGCTTGTTTATCGTACAATAACCTTGTTAATTGTATTAGTTTGAAAATGTCCTTATAGAACGAAACTGCAGTTACGTTAGTTACAAATAAAAGTGGTAAAAAACATAGGTACTTTCTACTGACACAAACTATGACGGTTGCGTCAGTAGAAAGGAACTTTTTCGAAGTTGAGATTTATTGAAACATTAGCAAATAAGCGATGAGCTTTAACCTCTAGCTATTATTTCGAATAGCTTCTTTACGATTTCAATTTTGGGAAGAAACGCTAATATTATTTTTAAATCGCAGCGAAAGAATGCAGTTTTTTCATTATTAAAAATTTGCATATTTTTAAAATTTTGATGAATCTGCTTATATAGTATTTTGAAACTTCGAATTTATTTATTTATAAATTTCACCGCTCATCATTGTGGATTGTGGATACTCATAATCGAAACGTCGTGAAGTAACTTGGTTTGAAAGCTTTTACATTTTTTTATTCCAATCTCTTTATTTTTTTATTATTTTAAATTTGTTTGCTTATTTTAGTTTGTTATTCTTTTTCATTTCTTTTTACTCTGTGGTCTTTTCCATCTTTCATCTTGATTATTTTTTTTACTCATTTAATTGTATTTTCATTTCACGTTTTACTGCTTATATATAATTTTAGACAATGGAAATCCGAACTAGTAAAATTCACCTGAACATTTTATCCGTTTGCGTCTTACATATTTCCAAATGAGGAGTTTTTCAACAATTTTTTCCGAAATTGAAAAAATTCCAATCATTCATTTCGTGATTACCTACACGACGTCAACAGGCCTCTCACGCCCACTGTGCGGCGAATAGACACTAAAGTAGGTCGTGACCATCGTGACCACACTACTAACCACAAACCAGACTGCTTTGACGAATGCGGAAACCGTCTCGCTTAATTCAAAAACTTCCAAGTGTTATAATATTCCAACCACGATCGGGTGGAACCCTTTTGGAAGGACATTTATCAACATCCGCAGCCACTCAACCCAGACACTTCAGCCCTAGTGCAGTACGAAGCTACCTGTAGAAAGCTTTGACAGCCTCAACACAGTGTTGAGTGATGGATTGAACACTTATTGGTAAAGAAAACTGCCGAGAAACCACTGAGTTTTCAACTCATGGCTAGAGGAAGAGCAGCAGATTTATTAGTTTGTGAATGGGCGGACCGTTCTTATCCCCAGAAACGGAGATTGGTTAATCCCGAATAACTACAATCTGTTAACATGTTTTATAAGTTGTTCATGGGTGTCTAATACATACGAATACTTTCCGCAGTTAACTGAGTATTCGAACTGATATATGAGCAGAGACTTTCGAAGAAAAGGGTCGCTGGATGCTGGAGGATATGCTCATCAACATAACACATTGCACATGACCCAGTGCATTACAAGCGCAACTTTATAAACTGAATCGTTCAACGTAAGGCATTCGAAATAACACCGCATAATATCATTTTGCATTTGCTCAGATACCTTGCAGTATCAGACAAAATAGTGAGATGCCTTAAACATATGATACTACTCTGGAGGACTAACTTGATATCATAACTTCTGATCAGGTTTGGACTTCGAACAGAAAGAGTCGTTCTTAGGAGTGTATGTTAGGACGATTCCCGTCTTTTCTGCGTCTCACTGTTACTATTATCCTTTGGGCTCGGGAAAATTCCTGGGTATAACTTTGGCACTCCCGGAGACCGAAGACATATCTTCACCTTTTTGTTTCATATGGATGATCTTAAACCTTATACCTCTGCAAAAAAGAATCTCCATCAGTCTTTAAGGTTAGTGAAATAGTATGGACATGCATAACAAATGTACAACAGTTCACCTCAGAAGATGATGCGGCATTACGGAGAAGATATGTAGAAAGTGGAGAGACTCATACTCACCTCGGGAAGAAACATCGAGACTCGCAAAAGGTAACCTCAGTGAATAATAATATCCGTTGTAAGTATCAGCACAAACTCTGACTGATTTGGTCATCTGATTATTGAAGAATGATACATCTCCATATGAGTTTGCATCCAAAAGCGCGTCTTTTACAGTTATACTCACCCGGCAACAGGAAGGCCGTGTATTTTTTAGTTTGAAGAATCTATATAACAGATTGATGGCGGTAATAAAGTCATCCCTGAGTTCGGATATCCTTCTCTGCATGTTCCATGACCATGAGAGAGTAGGTATTATAATATTACTATAGCTTCACAAGCGGTTGACGAATTCGATTCAGGTATCGACATTAAATAACGTGACCCCAACTCTGAACCCATTCAGCTTAAGGTCGACATCAAAGAAGTCTAACTCCTGGTCTAACAGAAGAAGTGTCTAACTCCTGCAACTCACGAAAATAAGCCAATGCATTCAACAACATTGAAAACTTGACCTTCACTTTCCTCTTGTCGGTAGGCAAACTGAGGTGTTTATCGTGGCCTGTCACGATGGTGTCTTCAACACCATGGTTGCGTGATGGATATATAGAGGTGCAAAGCCTACCGGGAGTCGACTGGGAGCTTTAATCATGTCCAATATATTTGCAGAGTATATGTGGAACGGCAAGAAGAAGCCCTATAACTGTTTTTTTTGCTATATCGCTGCGGTATTAATGAGCTATCGGTGTTGACTTATGCTCCGGGGACCATTGAGTCCAATGTGAGAAATGAGAGGTACAGATTTATTGAAACGATTTATTCTCCACCGCCACACTGATACAATCTAATAAATCTTATGTAGTCCTCCTCGAAAATCTAAATAAGACAATATTCGTCTTGAAGTTTTCATCTCCGGATCAGATATGGATGGTCGTAAAAGAAAAAAAATAGACATATGATAAATCGATATTTTTTTCTTCAAATTCCACAGGCTCTACCCAGATTACCGTCTGATGATGATGTTTTGTACCTATATTATCTACCTGCTACGTTTGATAATCATTTCTAGTAACTATGCATTCAATTATCGGTTGTAACTTTAATCATTTTCTCATAATTCATTCATCTTTAATGATAATGTACGTATCTATTATTTGCAGTTATATATCATTCATTATCTTTTAGTTATTTTCAACCTGCACTAAAGAAAGAATTGGAATTCCAGCTCCCTACGAATATATATGTAGCTGTCAAACTTGCAGAATGTATTCAAGCCAAAATTCTTTTTCCGATTGTACTTCTTGATGAAAGTTGATAGTGGACACTTACCATTTTTCTTTATCTCAGAGGCGCATCTCAGAGGCACAGCTGGAATTGCCAAAGCTGTAAATATTACCAAAGAAAAAGTGTTTTGTGAAAAAATGTTTTGGACTTTTTTTATCTTCATGCAAAAAAGCGAGTGGAAAACTTCCGAAGACAGAAAGAAAGAAATTAACTTCAAAAGTAACACTCAACAAAGATGTGTACATCTTGTTCACATACAAACTGAAAAAAAAAACCACTCGAAAAAAACAATTCCACATAAACATTGAATTATTCGAAAAAAAAAGTGTTTTGAAACTTATTTCATATGAACAATAAATTATACGAAAACCATTTTTTTATTCTGTCTGTTTTCCAAACATTCGTTATTGAAACACGTATCATTCACTGAAAAACTACACAACGTGATAACTGGAAGAATATTGATATAAAATTCTACTTCCATGTGAATCTAACATCCTCAATGTGAACTCCTCGAAGTTTCAGCTCAAAAACACTCGTTTCCAAGATTTATAAGGTTATTTGATTTCAAAAAATTGAAAGGTGGCATATTTTTTAAAAGGCTAGTTTTTGCAAAAAATAGTTTTAGCGCCTTTCCATATGTTTACACAAACAAATGTTGAAACTTCCAAAGAAAGAAAGAAAGTAATGAAGTTGTACATAAATGGAGAAGTAGTGAGTCAAACAGCTTTCTCCTAGAAACAATGTCTTCCTAAAAATGTCTCCCCTTACAATTTAAACGGAGTTTAAAGTGATATGAGCAGAAGCACTTCAATTTCAGTCATAACGTAAAGCACATTTTTTCTGTGGTTGACATCTCTATCAAAAGAAAATGAATTATTTGATTTAGTTTTACCACAGATATTCAATCTGTGGTTTTACTTGAATACCCAATTTTTTATTTATTGTTAAAAAAGGACGTACTCATGCAAACACGTGTATGCTATTAGACTGCTGTCCCTAGACAATCTCTGGACTTTAACTATTTTTCAAAAATATCAGCTACATTCGAGCGGCAGATGCTTCTTAGGAAATTGATGTAGTTTTTCATGAACCAACAAATAAGTTAGTAAAATGGCATACTGTCAATGATTTTAAAAACCGTGTCTGCCTATTAGCAGAATATTTCAAGGTCAATTACTTAGGAAGGTCAATTACGTCAACTTGAACACTGCTTATGACATTTTATTATAATGTATATATATCACAGATTCAAAAATTTAAAAAAATTATTTTAACTATATATTGACTTCATTTTTCATTTCTTATTATTCAATTCAAATAGGAGAGTGTTAAAGTTAAGGTCATAAAATGTCCAAAGCTGAAATACCGTCAAAATGTAATTCCCAGAAAAAATCTACTTGGATTCAAGTAAATATTTTTGACTCATTCAAAAAAATGAATGATTTGAGTAGAAAACAGCAAATGATGAAGATTCAGAAAATAATACAGGGCTCTTCTCCATTTATTATTGAAATTTCTGATGAATCTGATACTGATTCAGAAATGGAGACAATTACAAGGACTCCTGCAGATATCAATGTGAAGAGAAAATTGGCTTTTGACCTATCTGAAAATTCAGATGACTCTAATGAGGGTGATGGTATGGTTGTTATATAGTTCATTGTATACCTAGAGTTCACTTTATAAGTTATGTAAATATTTTTGTCGTTTCAATTAAAAGTTAATCATAGTCATATCCTCACCGAGATTCATACTGAACTGGTTATTCAATGAAATAACATTTCTAATAATATTCGTTATTTTCAGGGATGGCAATAAAATCTGAATGTTATCCAAGAAGAAAAAATGTGCCTGAAGAGATGATTCTCAACAAACCTATCGCTAGTTCTTCTCCCAAAGGATCGTCCATAACTGATCCTGTTGACAAAGAAGTGATGAGTGACGATTCTGACAGCACAATAATTTTAGAAAATAGCTTCAATAAAACTATTCTCATTCAACAACATATAGTGTTATCCCCTGAAAAATCAAATGAAATTTCTACTAGTGGCATCACAAACAATAGTTCAACTAGTGAACTAAACAATTGTAAAGTGGGTGCTTGTCCTGGAGAAGTTGAGGACAAACAAAATGGATGTCGTATACCTTCAAAAAGATCAAAAGTTGAAGAGAGTACCAGTAATAAAGATTCCCCAGGAATTAATTCTAATGGAGATGTCAGTAAATTGAAACGTAAAGTTGGCACTGGTGAGTCAGTTGCTGCCCCTTCTCGTATTTATTGTAATTCCAAAACAAACTCAGGAACTACCCACAACTTCTCCACTACTCCTATAAAGAAGTCATCGCTTTCAAATAAAGTTGAGACATACCAAAATAATTCAATTGCGCCAAATGAGAGTGAAATGAGGCCCAAGGATAGTGAGTTAAGTACTGCGTCCTCTAATGGTTCAAATAATACCAGAATAGATGGAAAAACTACCCACAACATACCCATTACTTCGATAAAGAAGTCATCTAATTCTAATGAAGTTGTGACTGACCAAAACCATTCAACTTCCCCAGAGAATGATAATATTCGCAATGTGACTACAATAAAAGACAAGGTTGGTGAGTCAGCTGTAACATCTTCTAGTAGTTCACATAATGCCAAAACTGATTTAGGAACTACCCATTACATGACCACTACTCCTAAAAAGAAGTCATCTAATCATAATGAAGTTGCGACTTGCCTGAGCAGTTCAACTTCTCCAGAAAAGAATTCTCTTAGAAATGTAGGTAAAATGAAGTACAATGCCGGTGACTCAGTTGCTGCATCCTCCAGTAGTTCACTTAATGCCGAAACAGATAGAACATCCCAAAACTTACCCACTACTCCTTCAAAGCCTAAACCAAGTAAATCATCAACTTCTAGAATATCTTTAAAATCTGTTGGTCCCAGTAAAGCAGACAATAACACCATACCCAAAGTTGCTTCTGAAGAAGTAAATCAATCTTCAAACATGACCCCAACTCGCAAAAAGCTCCAAATCAGTGCCTCAACTGTTTCATCTCCTAGTAAAAGAAGTAATGGATCTCCCAGTCCGAAGAAAGAAAGAGGCATGAACAACAATGTTTTGAAAGTATTCCAAGAATTGTTTCTTTATGTCAGTGAGTCACCATTCTTCAAAGACCTCATTGAAGAAGAAATATCTATAATGAAGTTGATTACATCTTCAAAACCAAAGTACTTCTTTGTTATTCTCAAGCTGTTCATCTGGTTACCAAAATGTTACAATATATTCCGATTTTGTCAAAAAATTTCAGTTGATCTGGAAGATAAAGAAATTGTTGAGTTGTATAAATTTCTGAAGGAAAAAAATATTGTTGATGTTGGTAAGTGCTATTTATTTTTAAAGATATTATTCTTCCAAATACTTTAAAAAATACTTTGACATATATGCGTGATTCATACACCTGAGTTCCACTTTTATTTTAATAATAAGTATTAAAATCTATTAAATTGGGTCATTCATACATACTTCAAAGAACAACAACGAAATTTTGAATATTGATTGAAAATGACCCATCAATAAGTGCTGGAGCCATAGATAGGTAGATTGATAACGTATTGATCATTCAGATGTGTTAAAATAATATATATTGAAATTATAGTTCATGAACTATAGGTTTACATATAAATATAGAGTTATGAGTATAGAATGTACAGTGAAAGTATGAGGATTAGAGGACGTTGCAGTTGTTGTTTTTTATATGTGTATACATACATACATACACATAATTATACAGATAGCAGCTCAAAATGAAGCTTCTCATAGTGGAGTGTGGAACTACAACAAGAACACTACTATCTTTATTACTATCTTCAGGTACAAGCTTTACAACCTGAAGAGCGCTCTAGGAGAGTTGCATTTTGTCAGTGACTTTCAGAACAGTTTAATAGAGATTGATTTTGTGAACCTATATCATGTTTGGGCAATAGAAAATCAGCATGCTGTAATAAGTACTCATTTTCAACATAGATTTTTCTTAAATGTTTAGGTTGGCATAGTAAATGACATGTTTATTGAACCCTACTTTTATCTACCTCGACAGACCAGCAAAATTACTCATTGAAAGATGTTTCTTAAAATGTGAGACAGAATATGATGTTGCTCCACCACATTTTAAAAAAGTAGTTCAGAACATCAAAATAATGAGTTTCTAAATAGATAGATAGGGCACTATGGTCCCATTTCTTGGCGTGCATGATACCTAGATTTACTACTTTGTGATTTTTTTTCTCTGGGGCTATTTAAAATAGTTGGTGTACACCAGGATGTTATTTTTGATGCTTGTAAGGAGTCAACAGTATGCCGACCAAGAATCTGTATTAAACGAAAAATGAGAACAATTTTGAGCAGTTTTTGTATTAACAGAATCCATTTTCATAATAAAAGATTTATATATATATTTTTCAATAATAATACTGATGTGGTTATCTCTCCTAGTGTGCAACTTTCAAATGGGTGAATTTTGGTTTATCAACCTCTGTTAAAATAAATGACTAAATTTTGAAAACACTGAAGACAAAAATTTCGAATTGAAATGCTCAAATACATATTTCTGCAGAAAATATATTTCAACAAAAAGGTTTCATCAAGTAAATCATCAATTCGACCCCCCACCGCAACCCGCAAAGGTCTATTATGGTTCACACCTATTCACACTCGACCAATTAAACCCAGCTTCTTAACGAAGGCGATTAGTTTGTATTGTGTGTGGTCTTTCAGGTCAGAGACAAACTCTGAAAACTTGATTTGGTCCCTAGCAGGGCAAGCACAAAGTATGTGCTCTGCTGTTTCATCGTTTTACAAACAGAGGCGACACACACTGTTGGACATTGTAGTTCATCCCTACTGTAGTCCAACAACTTTTTGGTATCAAGCTTTGAAGGGTGAATAAACGCCTTGGAGTGAGCCAATCCTGGAGGATTCTCCCAGAAGTCCATAAATCTTCTTGCCATCCAGGTGTTCAATGTTTGTTTGGCAAAGCCTAAAGCAGTGTGCCAATAACAGGTTGTGGTCCTGTAATGTATGTGGCTGCTACGCCACTGATATAGGGCTAAGGGCGCATGCCCGGAGAACAGTCTCCAGGTTAGGAAACGCTGGGGGAGTCAGTATCAATCGGCGGTTGTGGTTGTATCTATGAAATGTACAAAATGTAATATGGTCGTATGGTTCGTGTGAATATCTTTGGATATTATCGATGTCAATAAACCTGTATCCGCCTGAAATATCAACAGCCTTATTTCCACCACCACCTACATAACAGGTCCGATGAAATTGCTTGCTAAACCCTCCTTTGTAAGGGAGTCAGTAGCCTCATTGCCTTCCAGGCCGTATGGCCAGTAATCCAGACCAGAGACAATATTTTAAGTCTTCCTATGGAGGAGAGTCCTTTTCGGCAATTAGCTACCAATTTATATGTTGTTCGGTAGGAGCCAAGAGCTTCCAATGCCGCTTGACTCTTGGTTGGATTCTTCCAATGTCTCCGCACACAATTCGATAGCATACATTTCCGCTTGAAATACAGTCGTATAGGTCTTAGAACCTGAAGGTGTTTTTGATCCATCTGTGAACCAACAACTATCTGCTTTTAATATTTCCTTCTTCCGGGGGATCCAGTCTTCACTACTCGGGAACAATACTTTATAAGGCGGTTTGTAGTTGACAATTGGAGGCATGAAGTCAGAGTACATTCCCAGAATGTTGTGACTTCCAGTGTCAACCAGCAGTCTGTTGTACTCTGCATTAGATTGATTTGTGCAGTTGGCAATGTGCACAAGTCTATATGCAGTCCATCTAGCCTCTCTCTCCAGAAAAATGTGGAGAGGAGGTAGATCTAGAAGGATCTTCATGGCTTTTCCTTGTGGAGAATAGTCCACTCCAAGGAATAGTCCAGACTATGGTTCATTTTCCCCAATCTAGTCGTCTCCTTAAGAGCAGAGTACGACTCAGTCGTCTCCTTAAGAGCAGAGTACGACTCAGTCGTCTCCTTAAGAGCAGAGTACGACTCAGTCGTCTCCTTAAGAGCAGAGTACGACTCAGTCGTCTCCTTAAGAGCAGAGTACGACTCAGTCGTCTCCTTAAGAGCAGAGTACGACTCAGTCGTCTCCTTAAGAGCAGAGTTGCAGTTCTGTGAACTGTTTAGTGAAAATCTCACAATGAAGTGTTACTTAAATACGTAATTCATAATAGCATATTTCTTCAAAACATAATCGATAAAAGTTGAAAACTGTTTTAGCTGAATCTTGCAAATATTTGCTTATATACTTCAGAAAGATGAAAATATCGACGAAAATGTAAAATAAATTTTCGTGTTGTCCAAGTTAAATTGGTTCTACACAAGAGTTAATCAACAGAGATTACAATGACTATCAAAGAACATAAAAAGTCAAGAAAACTAATAAAAATCTAATATTTTTTTTAGTACAAATACAATTGATTTTCAAATCAATAGAGAATCAGCTGCATAAAAGCATACTGAAAAGTTCATTCGGAAGGTTACTGCAAAACCCAAATAATTCACTTGTGAACAAGGACTCAATTGTAAACAACTATATTTCCTTTGAAACGTGTCAAAAGAATGGATTATGTATATGAATACATGTACACGATTTTTTCTGAGAATTTAGCTTGGATTCATATTTCCGTTTTCAACCTATTGATCTAGCTTTGTTTATTTTTCAGATTGTGAAAAGTCATTGCACTCGAAAAACAGTAAAAAATATATAATTAAAATCTTATATTATTTTCAGTTCTGTTATTTGAGAATTTTGGTACCTGTCCATTCCTGAAATAGTAGAGACAGTTTTTTCAACCACTCTTAAACTTCTTTTTCCAGACTTCAGTAAAGAAGATGTCAGCAATCTTTTGAATGATTTGGACCTTGTTTCTGTAAGAAGTATATGTGAAAAATTCAAATTGAAAAATAAACTGACTAGTAAAAAAGATATGAAATATGCTCTCCTAAGATTTTGTGAAACTCAGTCAACACTGACATTTAAAAAGTCCGCAAAGGATTTAATACTTCAAGAAATCTTATTGAAGATGGGAGACACCGTTAGGCTGAAAAACAAAGTACGAGAGGCATTTTATAAAGTTTTTCTTCTTGGAACATTCACGAATTCAGCTCTTGATGTGCAGAACTTCTTCAAAACCATGCTCCATACAAAACCAGCTTTTCCTGAGTATAGGATTGAAGGTTATCATGTGTTTTATTCTAGAGCAGAATTCCAGAGGTAAAGTAAAAATGAATGATATTTATTTCTGTTCAACTCCCAAATAATCTTTCATTAGTTCGGAGATTAGCTGAAAAATAACAATTATATTGAGCATAAAAAAGAACTGAAATTACAATGAAATAAAATACAAATAGCAATGAAAAAATAATTTTCATCTCGTGTTAATAGTTCAATTTTTTTATTTTTTTGGTTGTTGCTTGTATTTTATTTCATTGTAATTTCAGATCTTTTTTTGCTTAATATAATTGTTATTTTTCAGCTAATCTCTTTTTTAATCTTTTACAGATACTTTCAGGGATTTCAAATCAATTTATATCATATTAGACAATGGAAATCCGAACTAATGAAATGCACCACGAAAAATTGTCAAACACCTTCAAACAAATTCTAAATAATTTGTCAATGAAATATAACTATTAGCAAAACCTTTTTCAAAGATAATTTTCGTAAGGAAAAACAAGAAATATTTATATTGAAACATTCAATAAGTCATCTCTTTTGTTCAATTATATATATTCATAAAACAACGATAAAAATAAAAACAACAATGAAAATTAATTTGCGCTCCGGGGCGACTTCATTGATTCCAGTGGCGCATTTGCTTTTTCAGCTGCAGGAAAACCTGGAAAAACCTGCACCCGGAAAAACCTGCAGCACCACATCGTCTGAAGAACTTGATCTGCCAATGTCCTCTCTCATAAAACAAAATGTAGGGTGTCTCCAGAGGCTCCAATAGATTCAATACATCGCCAGAACACTTTGTGACACGACTATCGTCAAACTTAAGGCGTAATAATGACCAAATTCAACGACAGAACCACATTTAATAAAATCGCTAACAAAAATATTTCAGAAAAATTCTCGGATATGTTATTCCAATAACCCAACTAAAACATTTGTCTACTTCATCTCCTGAAGGCGTCAGTTGGTGAAATACGCGTCGATAATAGGGTTGCAGTTCTGGTGTTTGGGAGCAGTGCTTGTTATGTTTAAAGTGACTTTTCTTGAGATAGCTCAATTGATAGATTTTTGTATATTTGATATTGAATGAGTTGAAATGAAAGAGATGAAAGAAGTCAAAATCAGTTGGTGAATGAGAAAGATATTTCAAAATGAATTAAAAAAAAATATAAATTATGAACTTGTTTTCTGACTATACAGTGCATTTCTTTGATGTTCCCCCCCTTTTATTTTTTGAACGGGTCAACTCAAAAAATTGAAATTTGGGATAATGAAATTAATCCATGAATACTTTATTTTGAAGTAAAATTGACAGATGGAACTTTCAAGATGACGACTGGGCGCCATCTGGGGAAAAAAATTAAATGGAAAGGGGGGTCTTGTGACACATCTTTTTGAAGCTTCTGACAAATGCAAACTTCTTGACATATGAACAGCCTATCCGATATTTCACGCCGAACATTTTCGAACACAGTAACGTCAATATCTCTACATATATTTATTATTTTCTGCCGTTCAGGTTCAGTTTAGTACACCTTTTGCTTCAAATAGCCCCATGAAAAAGTCCAAAGGTGTCAAATCTGGCGAGCGGGGTTGCCATTCTGTAGGTCCTCGACGGCCAATCCAACGACCGGGAAAAGTAGTATCCAAATAGTTTCTCACTTGTCTGGAATAATGTGGTGGTGCTCCATCTTGTTGGAATACAGTATCCATATCGATTTAGGATTTGCTTCGACGATTTCAGTGATGAAAAGGTCAACAGTAGTTTCCAGCATACTCAAATACAGTTCCCCTGTTAAATTTTAATCAATAAATAGAGGTCCTACAATATGGTTTCCCAATATTCCTGCCCAAACATTAATTTTTTTCTGGATATTGGTTATGTGTTTCCCGGAAAACTTGAGGGTTGGTGTCACTCCATTAATGGCAATTTTGTCTGTGAACATTGCCGTTTAAAAAAATGTACATTCGTCACTAAAACAAATATTGTGGAAATAGGTAGGATGCCTTGCAATGGTTTCCGTCATGATTTCGCAGAATTCTGTTCTTTGATCAGAGTCATATTCAGTTAATTGGTGTACCATTTTAATTTTGTATGGATGATACCTATTCCTCTTCAAAAGTCTCCACACAGTAGAAGGAGACACTTCACAAACATTCGCAACGGAATAAGTAGACTGTTCAGGATTTACTACCATCTCGCCAATTATTTGCACTTGCTGTTCTTCCGGAATGGACGGATGACCTGAGGGATTTTTCTTATGTACACTACCGGCAGTTGTGAATTTGGATACAAATTCCCTCAAATATTTTCTACAGATAGGACGATTCAAAAAACGTTCATTAATTTCATTATCCCAAATTTCAATTTCTTGAGTTGACCCATTCAAGAAATAAAAGAGGGGAGACGTTAAAGAAATGCACTGTATATATTTTTAATCAGGTTTTGAAGTTATAAAAGCTAATGTACAAAATCACTCGATAGGTACTAATCGGATCTCATGATGATTTAAACAGCTCAATATCTTTCATACTTTTGAAATTCTTTGTGAGAAAATACTGAAACTGACGCTTTTTGCTCCTTCAATTTTAGTTGTGCAATAATCATATGTGGATAAGCTTTAAATACTTCATAAGATTTATTAATTTGTCAAGGAATAATCCCCAATAGTATACACATTCTACAGATTCAAGGAAGTCGCTACTACTACGTACCTTATTTCAACTATGAAGATATCATAATAGAAAATTATGGACAATTTGGACACTCAGTATTTTCAACCATGGAATTTATATATACATGCTTTTTAGGCTATTCTTGAGACCACCTTCAAAAATATCAAAAGTCATATTTATTGCCATTTGAAACTAATCTGGATAATGGACAGTGTTTACCATAATAACACTTATGATAACATCAGAAGGTACACAAAAGTTGATTTAATCTCATTATCTACTGAAGAAGACACCAACTTGGTTGGCGAAACGCGCGTCAAAAAATGTATTGCATTTCTGGTGATTGGGAAAAGTGTTTTTTTTTTGTATTTATTCTACGCCAAAGGTTTCAGTTTTCCGTTTCATCAGAAAAAAGAGTTGTGCTAATAATTTTGTAATTGAGCCACTTTTGAAGGAATATAATATCTTCATGAGTACTGAGATTCGATATAGTGGTTTTAGAACGATAATCTAAAAGTAAGAAATCTCTTAGAGACATATTTATTTTTAAAGCTATGTATTTCAGGAATTTATGCTGAACTTTCTCCAAGTTGTAGTCGTGAAGGTCATAGATTAGAGGCCAAATGCATCTGCATATTCTAAAACTGATCTTACTGAAGTAAGGTACATCGTTTTAATGGAATTAATGTTCGTAAATTCTTTAATTTTTCTGCATATGGAGCCTAATATTTTCATTGCTCTACTAATAATCTGTTAATAATGGACGTGGAAATCCATTTTAACATCTACATGTATACCTATATTACATATTATGATTTTTACAACTTCCAAAGTCTCACTCTCAATATTGTATTCAATTGATGTATAGTCAATCCGAACAGCTAAATAAAATACTAATGTTCCGGGTCTGATAAATTCACTAGTTAATACCATATAAAACCTCCCACATAAAAACAATGATTAGACCTCGTAACTACACCACGCCGCCCATGCCATACAAAGAAACTGCCGACGTTCAGTAACTATTTAGTTTTTATATCATTCGAATTGACTTCGTTTATACTGTAATTGAATGATCAAGAGAAATACAGTGTTACATTTAGACACTTTGACATCCACGGAGTTGTCAGATGTTATGTCATTTTGGAGTTCCTCAAAATGCTCTCTAGTTCTATTATTCCTAAATATTTTGAAATGATCTACAAACATTGATATTTCCAAATGATTGATTTCATTTTCAATATGTTTCACAAAATTATTAAATAAATATGACAGCAAGTGGCTTCCTAGAAGTACCCCAGAACTAATAGAGATTCAATGAGACATTTACAAACTTTTGAAAGGTTACTTTGGAACCAATTTAACAAACTACCAAAGAAGCCAACTGCTTTCAAATTTTCACATAAAATATTATGGTTGACCATGTCAACTATTTTGATAAAGTCAGTGTATATTACATCCAGTTGGTGTTTATTTTCCAAAGCATTCAAGATTTTACATCAGCTTAGAGTTTTCTCCCCTGCTGAGGTTATAAACATGGAGGGCCAATATAACAATTCTTGAACATACGTCTAATAATTGGTCAAAAATTAACCTGGGAAGCACACAGATAACTGCAAGGAACAGTATCTACATATGAACTTAAACCAACCTAATTTGGACTAATACAATCCATAAACTCATTACATCAGAAACAATATGACACATGAATATTACACCCGCAGCGATAATGTACTATCTGTTTAAAATCTGTTTTTCCGTTAACCAGCTGTCGCACCCCTACGAACGACAATCCTCAGAAGTCTAAACTTGTGAAAGTCAAAGATTAACGAGGTCTTACCTTTCAACGTGTGATTCCATAGCAAGTGAAAATCGATGATTCTGTTATTGTTTCTAACTCATTTCCAGGATGAATAAATTTCTATTCAATTCCCATATTTTTTTCAAAGGTTCACAAAGTAGGTCTCAAATGGTCACTTTTGTCAAACTTACATTGCAACGTTGTTTTGATTGGTTTTTGGGTTTTGCCGTGGTCTTCTTTGGTTATAATATCCAAACGTTTCGACTGCAACTGAGGCAATTATCTTCAGTGTCGTGGTCTAAGTACTCTTCTTGACGTGTCTGTAATGGCGGTTTTGCGCGTACTTCCCGCGAGATTTGGTTGACTTGGCTTCGTTTTAGTACTTTTCAATGCTGTATGCCAGATCTCAGATTGTCCGATATTTTCTTTGAAGAAGATATCTTCGAAGAAAATATTGGAGTATTTGAGATCAGCAAAAGACATCAGAGATCCACTCAAATCAGCGGAGATCAGAGAAGCAGCAAATCAAACATCAAAGGAAATGGGCGTACCTTTTCATCTTTATTTTACCAATCAGTGAAATCATTAATACGATTTATGGATAACAATGGTATTCGAATGAATTTGATCATTTTCCCTTCATCAGTTGCTTCAACATCAGTTTACTGTTTGTACATTGAAAGAATGTGTTTTTAGATATGCCGATGCAAGGAGACTCAGAGATGGCTTGGAAGAGGCATTTTCAAACCACAACCACATAGAAATGATGCAAATATCTCAAAAAGTGTATGATGCCTTGAAGGAGAGCAGAAATAAGTAAGTTTCAATGAATGATTTGAGTTGTTAAAGTACAAAAATTTCAAATACTTTTTTCCAAAATGAAAATGTTAACAAATGATAACTTTCATCGTGTATAGAATAAAGCTTTGTGCATTATATTCCATGTATTTAATGGTTGGTTTAAATAGTAAGAAATTATAAAACACTGCTATGAAGTAACTACAAACCAAATGATTTGTCCAAATCATTTCGATAAACTGTGATAGATGAAGTATTTTTTTGGGAAACATAGTTTGCTGTCCTTTTGGGGGTATTTACAGCGTAAACAATCTGAGAAATAAAAAAATTGTAGAAATTTCACACAGGCATGTATAATAATTATAATGACAATCTTTATTTTCCATTTTGGATACATGAAGTATATATGGTAAGTCAATGTACTTAGGTCTGTTTAAAATCTGTTTAAAAATCTGTTTTACCGTTAATCAGGTATAAATAAATAATATAAATAAAGTAGATACTTGTGACACAAAGTATATACAAATTAAAATAAATGAAAAGTATAATGAGATGTCATCGTTAATATTTTCAATTTCAAAAATATGAAAGTTATCGTTTAAAATATAATTGTAACTGTAGTTACAAAAAGCAAGATGTTTACTTCATTTCGGAAGACTTCATCTCTTCTTGCTTATTTTACCTAATTTAACAGTTTTTATAAAATGTGATAACATTATAATGAGTAGACTTATAAAATGACATTCTGTGTTGTGGAATTCTCAAGAGATTACCGAAGTATGTATTTTATGTTCATATGTGTTAAGAGTAATAAAATGGTAAATTTTGCCTGCAAACATAACACATTTGGAAATATGAATTGAAGATGTTATAAGGATTTTATTATTGAGTTTATCCTGAGTTTATCCTGAAGGGATAATACACATTTCTCAAAGAAATTATTCATTAGTTACGTGTATTAAAATAAGCCCATTGAAGAAAGAACCTAAACATTTATCAAACATCTATTCTGAAACTCGCTTTTATATTCACAACCATTTGTTTCAACTGATGTCGAATGATATTGGAAATATGTCACGCTCTGATAATTCATATATCATTTGACATCAGTTAATTGATTTTTTTGCATTCTGATTCAGACAGATTTTTATCTCCGATTTGTACAACTCATATGTGTAGAATTTCCATGCAAATCTGTAGGTACTGTTAATATCGCTGTTCATGTAACAATACAGTGTTACGAATCCAGTGTTGCACATAATTATATAAATTGAAAGGTAGATGTAAATTGTGATAGGGTTACATATAATATTAGTTAAGGGTATGTATGCAGATGCATGAATGTTTACCCTGATTTTTTTGAATTACTTTTATGAATCTATATGTATCTAGAATTATCCTCAGTGTTATCATCAAGTCTATGTTTGTCAATTTGATCACGGCATATAAAACTGTACGTTAATGGCGATGTAGGTTCCAACTACCGTCAAATCTATCGGACAAGACTATCCAGGATGAATTCGACACAGGCTTTTTCAGCAAACAGGAACATTTATCCGTCTGTTTCATCTTCAACGTTTCAAAGTGACATATAAATATATGTGTGTATGGCCAGAAAATAACATTGGGTCACTAGAAAATAGTTTTATGAATTTTTCTTAATGTAATTCTTTAACAAAACTTAAAGTGTTCTGATTCTACTTATATCGGAATAGGGTAAAATTCCACTCTTGTTATATTAATATTATATTACTCTGGGCTGGTATTGGGATATTTTTCGTTAAAAAGATATTAAAGAAAAAAATTGATATTTTACATTACTTGATCTGCTTTCATAAACTTGTTTTCCCTTGAGATAACAACTGAAAATCCGAACACTGTATTCTAAAATATAAAAATCATATCTCTTCTTAATAAGAGTTATTCACTTTGTGTTATATTTCAGTATTGAACATGATAGATTCAAAGATGTGCCACACTTGAAGAAATTTACTGCAGAATCCGTATACATCAGTGTCTTATCAAAGGGCTGTGAACAGCTCAAAACGAAATATCCTGAAAAAGTGAAGATTTGGACTCAGTTCCTCATAAAAACATTTCCCCAGTCTCATCGAGCTGTTGATTGGTACCTTCAACTCACTTGGTTATATATGAGGTATATTCAACCCATTGATTATGTTCGGGCTGCCAAGCTCTTAATTGATGTTCTGAAAAATAATCGCGAAATATGTTCAGACGTAGGGCTACAACAATTAGGAGAAAGAGGAGATCAGCTTAAAGTGGGAAAAAAATATAAAATCGATCAATATTACCATGATAAAATTGCACAACTTGTACCAGAACCTATAAAATTAGAGCATTTTCCACAAAACACTGTCGATGCTAAGGCTAGAAGAAGGTGAGTACTTTGATATTTATATGGTTTCAAATTAGAAACCAGGTAAGGATAACTTTGAATATAATTAATATTATCCTTTTTTCATTTCATAATTTGGAAGTTTATGTTTCAAATAGTACATCTGCAAAAAATCTGAATTTTCACTCTTTATCTTCCCCCTCAAATTAATTGTTGAATCGGGCGTTCACCGAAACGGGGCGTGGTGAAACTTGACGTCACATCAGTCGACTCGGTGACAGGGGAGTGCTGGCGGATAAGCAAAATATGTGTGCTAAAGCTGTAGAAAGCAAGTTGTGTGTTGTTTACTCCATTGTGTCAACTGCGTGAATATGAATAATGATAAAAAATAATGTTACACGTATCGTTCCTAAATGCAAGAATTCTTCGATAACTGCACCAGAAATAATTTTTATTTCACTGTTAGGAAAGTTGTTAGGCATAATTCCGCATATATTTGATTGCCAGATTGATAGACCGACGGCCCATACATCTAATTCAAAAAAAGGAAAAACTAATTTTGTTGAATACTTGTAACAAAGATATCGCTGAAAATCAAATCATGTCTGATGAAGCAGGTACACAGGAAAAGACTTTTGATGTTGGAATTCAAGTTAATAAACAGGTTTTTCGAAGATCAAAAGCGTAAATATATACCACCGAAAAAGAAATCGTTCTAAAGAAATAGAAAATACAGAAAAAGTATTGGAAAAAAGTACTACTAAGTTCCCACGAGGACAGTGAGAGTTTGAGTACATCAGACATAACTTCTGTTGATACATCATCAGATTCTACCTTGTCTTGAATATTAGTTGAAAACTAGAATTCGAAAAACAATATTGAGCCAAGATCTATTTACGTCATAGAGAAAAATCCGAAATTATGGTGTGACGTCACGATGTACCGCGGGCGATCTTACATTTTCAATTGCTCTGGCTCAGTTGTTAATTGAGATATAAACCGGAAAATTTTGTGGGATACATAATATATAATTTTCAATAAAAAAATAAATTAGTCTGAATGAGCCCATTCAATCATCCCCGAAAATCTTATCATTTCCTAGTTAGCTATAGTGGGATTTGTGTAGTAGGTAAACGTTTTTTTTTTAATAAACCTTTAAGAACGAATATCTGTTGCAAAATATGTTATTATAAGACTGCCAATTGAAATGTTATTCATCAAATAGCATAACTTGAAACTGAAGTCGTCCTTTTTGATACTTGTTTGATTATATATTACTGTAGACTGCAAATGTGGCGTGGAATGTCCTGGTTGGGCGGCGGCGAGTATACTTGGTGGGAAACGTTCTGATTGATTGAAGGAGTATATAAATGATGTGACTCTCGACCGAAGGCACACTGATAATTTTTTGGGTGGTATGCTTGCTGTTGGTGATGAACTGGCTGTGGTTTTGCATTTGATGATCTTCCATCTGTGTTGTTTAGACTGCTGATAACAATTTCGATTGTCTCCCTTATGATTCTAATTTTCTGGTGTTGCATACTTGCAATGTATTTGCAGCTTTTGAACTCAATGTTATGATATGTATCAAGGTGGTGTTTGTATAGAGCCGAGGTTGTTTGTTTGTTGCAAAGTGAGAGTTTGTGTTCCTCTCATCTAACTGTTATTCGACTATTTATTTGGACGACTTTGTCTCCGTTGCAATCTCATATGATCTTATAATATTGTGACAAATTAATGAATCAACAAATTTATTTCCAACAATATTTCACTAATCACAAACTAATTCATTTACAACACTTAGCAACTAACGCTTAATTTATTTCCACTATTTGAATTTTTTGTTTAGCCGCTCGATTCACTTTTTGAACTGCCCTCTTGGGTCGGGAAGACATGCTTATATCGGTAACGGTCTTTTCTAGAAATCTGTAGTCGGTTCAGTGCTAAGAGTTTTACCGGCGATTCCCGACTGCATTCTTTCGCGGTAATGCCATGTGTTTGTTCGATGAGTCGACCGGCATATCGGTCAGGAGCGGCTTCAGATTCATTACAATATGTCTTAGTTGACTTTGTATTACGTGTTGTTTAAGGATTTTTTTTATGATTCTCGTAACTTTTTCAAAATAGACATGTTTCCTACAGCTTTGTCAATAAGAGGATCTCTTCAGACGATGAAACATATTATTCGTTATTATCATTATCAAGCGAAAATAATGACTTTTTCGTTTACACGAAAATGAGATTTCTAAAAAGAAAACATCGCAGTTTGAACTCCGAGATATTAAAAAATTACACAATTTTACAAATACTAGGTTATATTATTTCACTCATCTCTAATGAATTCAATCTGGAAATTATCAAAAATTGACATTGACATGTTCACGTGACAAAAGATTCTGTTTTGTTCTTCACTTTTTAAGTAGCAAAATATTGTGATCATGGAATCCTCATATTGATAATTTCAAATCTTGGTATAAAATTGTCAAGAGCATAAAAAAAAAGTTGATTTGATTGATTATTCATCTCATGATATATGTATATTTGAAAATATTGTCCTGACTTTCACTTCAACCATTATTTTTAATCACCTTTCTGTCATCTTTCAGTGATGAATGTGGTAAGAAACGAAGATATGTTGTCTATGATTCAGATGGTGCCAAAAATTATTTGTCTGTCGAAAATGTGGCAATGGATTATTACATTGAAAGATTCGGGTATACGAATGGCATGCACTGTGAAGGTTCTTTGATCAAAGCAACATTCACCCTTTTCTTCTGGGATCTGATATACAATCCTGAAATTTTGGTGCCAGGTACTTTCATATCTAAATACCAACAGGTTCCACTAGATATGACAACGCCATATTTTTATACCAATAGGAAGGAGGTGATTGACAAACGTCTGCGAGACATAGGCTCGGATTGGTCAGACTCAAAAACAATCGAGTTTGTCAAACATAGTTTTGATATGCATTCACATGAAAGTGGATTTTGTGAACCGGGGTACTACATAACAGATGCAAAAATGTTAGAAGATCTGGTAAATTGCATCGGGAGGAAAGTCCTATCTAAGATATATGAACGCCTGGTGAAAAATATTTGGCAGTACTCTAGTGGGATGCCAGATCTTTTATTATGGAATAGTAAAGAAAAGAAGGTATAGTCTGAAGTACTTTTTTATTAATGAGTTACATAAAATAGTTCTATTTAGAGAGCTATTCCATTATAAAAAAATAATATTATTCATTGACAAAATCCTAAATTAATATAAGATAATTCCAAGATAACTTACTATGATACTATGGTACAGGCATAGACCTTGGGCTGCACTTTTCGCAATACTTAGCCCGAGTGATAGCCTAATGCATTTGATTTCTCGATATTTTGCTTCACGTTAATGATACCAAAATAAGTTATTTGATAAGTTGCTTAAAAATCGATTTCAAGGACCATACAGTATTTGATAATGTATCATGTAATGTGGGCTGGAAGTTAAAAACTATATCGAAATTTTTTTGGTGTCAAAGGCATCAACTACTCTGGTCATTACCCTCGGGTTTTGGATAGGCAATGTTAATAACTTTCCAGCTATCTAGGGAGCACATAAGTCACATGAGGGTTGCCATTTAGACTTCCGAAAAGGGGTTGATATCAAAATAGTGGGAGTATTGAAGCTAGCTCATATGCTATTATGGTTTCCTTAACATTACCTCAAAACTGATATATTTTCAACTGTTGTGATGGTACCACTCCAACTTTTAAATTGAAGTTCCAACGTTTACTGATTAATTTTTTTTCAGAGTAAATTTGTTGAAGTAAAAGGAGAAAATGACAAATTGTCCATTAAACAGAAATTGTGGTTGAAATACCTTCAATCTATCGGAGCCAATATTGAAGTATGCCTAGTGCACTGTAAGATAATTCAAAAGGTATTTAAATATCCTGTTGACAAACATTTGTTTCTAGCTATGGGCTCCAAAAGAAAAAAATTATCTCCATCTACCACAGCAACTGAAGATGCTAAAACTCCTGTGAATCAAGGTAGTAGAACTCCAAAGAAGGGTATATGTGAATCTGAAATTGAGAACAACACGACTCCTGAGAAAAAAGTTAGACTCAACAATGAAAGGATAAATGATGTAGCATCCACCTCTACATCTAAGTCATAACAATATTTTTCAATAATATGAACTGAACCAACGACAATGGGTTTATCCAGATTTACTGTGACTAATAATTTCATGTTTCATTGATTGAATAACTTCCCAAGTTGAGGTGGAACTTCAACTCGTGATAGTACATTTGTTATGTTTCAAAGTTTCAGGTGTCCTTGTAACATTCACCATTGTTCCATTCGGCATTTAGTTTTTCTATGTGTCGACTATTTTATTAGTTATAGTATTTTCGTTTGAATTATTATCTATTTTTAACACAATTGTTTTAATTAAAAGTACACTATTACTAAATTACTTGGAACTTTTGTAAAAGAAATCACCATTTGAATTGTGATAATCTAATATAAAAACGGCTGTGTTGTTAATTTAGTAATAATATTGATGATCTAATGGTTATGACAAATGTTAAAATTTACCTCTCAACCACTTTACCATTCACTGAGAATATTGCGTCAATTGTTCTCGATGAAAATGTCACACAAATACCACAGGTTGACACAATTTTAGAAAAGTCTGAAACCAGAGTCTAGATGTTGCTTCCCAGAAGATTTTTGGTATGATAAATGCAACATCAAAATTGCTCCATCACATAGAATTTGTTTGGGCATCTGAAGGTAGACCTCCTCTACTGAAAAATCAATTGTAATTTTTCAGATATCTTAGTTATTTGAGCAATAGGGGACATATTTTTCAGATTAATATTCTCATTATTTTAGTGAAAAGCCGGAGCCCTATTACTCCAAATCTCAAATCCGATAACCCCAAATCATGTTACTCCATATCCGTTAAATTTCACTATCTGAGCTAATAATTTCCAGAGATTCAGGAGTTATGAGGCTTGGGACAAGCATTTGTTATAATGAAAACAAAAAACTAATAAGTTTCAATCTACCACATTTCTAATTTGACGTAAAATATATTAAAAGATCAAAATTAATTTTGACTTGAAAAAGTTGTGATTTTAGATACCTCAACAGGTTTTGCATGAAAAAATTATTTCAATCTTCAGTATTATCAGCATTATCAAGTAGGAATATCTTTTAATCCTGGTGTTCTTGGAAAAATGCTCAATCGGCTTTTAATCATTTTTATGAACAATTTTTTATTGAGTATAATATACATTATCATTTTTTCAATCCACATAGAAAAAAAGTGTTTATAAAAATACAGTTATAATATTTTTCATAATATTTATAGTCTAGTCTTTCGATTTTAAAAAATGTTAGCCTTTATAATCATTTTTCTCAATAAATAAGATCGGATGAGGATTATATTTGGAGCATAAGTATGTTTTCTAAGTTGACTATACTTTGTTTATTTGTCATAAGCATCAGCTGTCATATGTATAAGACTTGTAAAGTATCCATTTTTTGGGATTATTTGATGTTGGAAAATTGATTCAATTATATTCATTTTAGTCAATATAAGTAAGGATTTTTGTCCACATGTATTTTTTTGACTTGGCTACTCTGCATTTTAGTGCAATTTGTCATATGTAGTTGATGTTTATATTATCTACTTCGAAGTTCAATTTACTCTAATCGTTGTACTCATCCTCCAATTAGTATTATTAATATTTAGTGGAAGTAACATCGTGAACAATCAAGATGACAACTGACAATAATGACAAACAGAGTAGACAATTCAGAAAAATACAGAGAATCCGAATGAAATCCTTAGCCGATATCATCTATTTTTTTTTTTTGGGGTATAACATATAATTATTATTTTGTTCTTAGAAGAATGTTGAAAAAAGATGTATTTTTATAATAATTCAGTTGTAATATATTTTATACCAGTTTTTTGTTCTTTTAAATTTACGTATAAACCTGCTATCAAAGATACAAAAATTTAATCGTGAAATAACATCCAAAAAAACACTTCTTTCACACCAGAACACTCAATAAACACGCACTGCTGTGAGAAATGTTTCGTCATCAGGACATGATTTGAGCACTTACTTAGCCTATTTATAATTAATTCGACCGGGTGAACCCACTTCCGCTTTTAGTCGCAGCAGAAAGTTTTTCAATAATAAGGAGAGAGTGGATTTTAGAAAAAGTAACAATATTCTGTTTAGAAAGATACTTTTCTGCTCAGTTCTCATATGACACTGTTATTGCCAATCTTTCGAAAGGTAAAAGGCTGGTGTCTGGTAATGTTTTTGATATTTTCTAGTAATAATCCTTATACTATTACTATTCTCAAGAGTGTGTTGAGCAACGTTAGATTGAGTATATTATCTTTTGGTCTGGAGTTTTCAATTTCATCAACTTGTTTTTCGATTAAAGACAACATTTCGTAAAAACAGTTGTTTGTGAGAAAGAACAGTTTTTGGTGGAGAAAATTAAAAATAAAAATACAGAATTGATCTAAGCAAATCTGAACTGAAAGGGAATAAAAATGTATTCAACTCTCGAGATCAAATATGTTGTATTTGGTGCAAAACTTTTTGAGAAGTTGAACCAGTGAGTGTTCACGCATCAACTATAATTATGAAGTTGGTGAGTGAATAACTCCATTCCATTCTCAAGTTGCTAAAATCAGAAACTTCGTTGGATTTCATAAATTCACCTTTAATTTGAATAAAGTTAAAATTATTGTAACGAATTAAAGAATTAACTGTCTTAAACAAATTTATTTCTAACAATATTTCACTATCACAACTAATGTATATTCCACAATTAGCAACTAACGCTTAATTTATCTTCACTGTTCGAATTCTTTATTTAAACGCACGATTCACTTTCTGAATACAGACTGCTATCTCGGGACCGGGACGGCAATTCGGTTTTTATATCGGCAACGATCACTCCAGATCTCTCTAGTCGTTTCGGCACTCATCTATACTTTTCGCAGCGGCTCGCGGTGCGTCATGTGTTTGCTGTCTGAGATATCGGTCAGGGCCGGCTTCAGATTTGTTACATTGCCGCCTCCTTAAAGACGTTTCGCCCCGAAATCCTTGGCGTGTGTCGATACCTGGAGGACTCCCCATATCTGCACTGTGAAGTTCGATGGAAGTAACACTCCACAGTCTTCATGCTCGGTCGTGGAAGATGGTTATCGCACACCAAAATCTTGATGCCGCTGAATCTGAAGATCGTTTCCAACATGCTTCTCACAATTCTCCAGTCGAGCCCAGAGGCTAATTTCGGGATTGCGAAGTCCACGAGATTCTGGTCGAGCATCGTGTCCCTCAGTCTGGTAAGCCTCCTCCAGACATCTTCATATGACGGTTTGTCTCGAGAATGCTTTTTGATCACCAAGTAGAAAACGTTTCTCTGGCCCTTCTTTAACTGTAGCACTTTCCCGACTTCAGGATTCTGTTCTCGTAATGTGTGGAGCTAGCCGAATTTCTTGTTGAACACCACAGCGATACCCTTGGACATTTGGAGATCCTCTGCCACGCAGTGAGTTAGTGCGTAATCAAGTTCCGCAACTTGGGTGATAAACCACGACCTCGCTTAGGATTGTACAGCCAAACTAGGTCACCGGTTTCGAATCCTCCAGCATTCGCCTTGATATCATAGGCCTTCTTCATCCTATCGCTGGCACTCTGGATGTTCATACGGACTCGTTCATGGATGTCGTCCATTCTCTGCCGAAGCTTGCTGAGAGTTTTCCTGGTTCAGAACTGGCTTTGACATCTTTCAGTTCCGNTTTATTTTTATTGCAATGTTTCTCTTTATGTACTGTGACCTGCCATAAATGTATTTATACGTAACATGGTTGAATAAAACTCTACTCTCTACTTTGTTGATACCAATCTAGTCGAAATACATTTTAGAATTCTAAACAACCTCAGAGAAAAATCTGTGACTGAACCGTAACCTAAATTTTTGAAGTTGCCTGTAGCTAAAACTCGAAAATCCAATATTGTATCTTTGTATACATAATATTCTATATACAAAAATTGTAGTGTGAGATCATTACTAGAATGATGATGGAAATCGACTGTTGTCTGCATACGTAATTGTCTATTATTGTATATTTACTTTATGTGTCATAGATATGACAATTGACAATACTTCACTGGATGAAAGTAATAAACAAATTTTTTAAATTTCTCAACTAAAATTAATCAGAAATAATTAAAATAAACATTTCTATTCAATGTCGCTGTTTCCTGCGTATGAAGAACAGGCCAAAGTTCAAGAACCAATATGGAAAAAGGGGAAAGATGAAAGTGATACAAGTTGGTTAACAAATTCCAGTTTTCAGATTGATTTAGAAACCAGTGCTAAATCTGGTGAAATAGGAAAATCGGTCACTATAAAAGTTGTTGACTCTAAGAAAGATAAGAAGGAAGTCCCAACTCATGCAAGCAATACACGAAAGCGAAAGAAGTCAAGGAAAAAAGATATTGCTGAAAAAAAGGAAAAATATGATCATTCACCCATACTACCTGGAATTGAAGAAAATTTTAGTATAGATGTGTCTGGTTGTCGGGAATTGTTGAAGGTACCTACTATATCTGGACGTCCAGCTCCTAAGTATCGTGTAGCTTACTATTTGAATGTTACACAGTATCGTTCTAAGAAAAAGTTTAAGAGGTATCATGAACTTTTGCCAGAAAAAAATACTGACGGTGAACAAGTTATTACAAAACAGAACATTGATCAAATTGGATTTGCATCTAGAGATGATAATTTCCCTGGATTCAAGCAAGAGCAGGAATTGTCTCAACAAACAGGTTTCTTTAACAGTCATCTCGAAAACCATCCTAATGATATCGAAGTGTGGTTGGACTACATTCAATTCCAAAATGTGGTTTACCAGTTTGAAAAGACTTATAGAAAAGGTAGCATAGCTAAGGCACAGAGAGTATTAGCTGAAAGAAAATTATCCATTCTTGATAAAGCAATGTCCTTCAATCCCGAAAGTGAATCATTACACCGGGAGAGATTGAACATTGTGGTTGGGACCTTTCCAGCAGATGAACAACAAGCATATCTGAAGGATTTGGTGGAGAAAGATAAAGGTAATATTATATTGTGGCAGGGTTATATAGAGTCTACGCAGTGCTCTTTGTCACATTGCAACACACCAGCAGTATTGAGCTTGTACACAAAATGTTTGTCGACCTTGCACCAGTTGAGACGTACTACATTTGTAGAGAAGAATTTATTAGAGGAAAATATTCTTAAGATGTTATATCAGTGTGGTCTGTATATGAAACAGGCTGGATTATTTGAACAACTTTGGACCCTGCTGAGGATGTATTTGGAGTTGAATTTATCACCCAATGATAAAACAAAGTTCAACATCACCTCAGGTAAAGTAGAGTTTATTCTTTTTTGAAACAGTTTAAGAATTGTTGTCTGAAAGACGATAAGTTTGATATATGTGCAGAAACAAATACTGACACAAACATATGTATATACAACACAAAAAAAGTAAATAGTCTAAATGAGATTCAATATTTGTATGTTATTATACACTGCAACATGTACCTGTCTAACAAGACATTTGAAATATATGAATGGTGTCTTACAATGACTTTTACTAAATATCTCTGTTATTCAAAATGGTAGATATATATTCAAACAATTGTGAACTAGATCAAAACAGATAAAGCTGCTAGTCACTACCTTCAGCAATAACCTACCTACAACTTTGTTTTTCAAATGACACGTCACATTTTTAGACATAATAATATAAAATATAACTTTTGTGCTAAGAATTATTTATATGTATGAAGAAGGTAATCAAAGAAGCTCTCTTCAAAATATAACTTGTGGTGTACCCTGTTTTTTTCCTTATTAATATTAATTCACTAGTCAATTTGAAATTGAATGGTATAATTAAACTACTTGCTGATGATACTACCATTATATATTCCTCAGACAGTTACGAAAAAATTAAAAATTAAGGTCCCTAATTATAAGCATTCATTGTTTCTTGGGACAATAAACCAAATTGAATTGACAATATGCCTCATAGTGGCACAAAACTGTTGTAGTTGTAAAAACAGCTCAAAGAACTGTGTATTAATTCTGTTCAGCAGATCTTTCACAATTAGGTAGAGTATTATGAAAGTCTTCTTTTAAATGTCTTCACTGAATCTAATCTCTTTCACCAATCCATTGATGTCAATAGATAGCATTCAGATAATTCATACCAATTTAGGAATTAGGTGGAGTACCATCATACTTCCACGACATGGTTCTCTCTTACTCCAATGAAATATCCTTTAGCAGCTTAGGTGCGTTCTGTTGTAGAAACTCCAGAATTCATTAACCGTCGTTGATTCGTCAAAAAAATGTGATCCAATTATGCTGCTGATGAATAACCCACACCATACACTCATACCCCACATTTCTTGGAAAAACAGATCTGATGTGAAGTGTTACTTCCACTTATTCAATTCCGCAGCCTTTTCTCAAAGTCAGTGGGGTGCAACCAGTGGACTAAATATATCTTAGAAGCATGATATTTATGATTTTTTACTGACTGTTACTGACTGTTTCTTCTATGAACACCTTAACTCATAGGAGACTTGAAACAGATCTTGTGTTTGTCCACAAAGTATTAAACGGCTATATTGATTCTCCAGAAATAGTTGAGCTTTGTACTACTCTCTCTGTGAATGATAGAAGAACCAGAAATAGTGATATTTTTAAAATTCCTTTTTGTAGAACCAATTATGGTCAGAATGAAACAATATGTAGGATATTGAAATCAGCAAATCATTACCATCTTAACCTGGAATTGTTTAATTCATCATTATTATCCTTCAAAAAATCGATTGAAAACATCTGATGTATCTTTAGTTTGTAAGCACATGTACAATTTATAAAAAGATATTTGTAAAAATTGGCTTGTCCGTTGAAATAAATAAATAAATATTAGTTCAGCACAGTGCTCATGGTTTCCAGATGGAACTCACCTGTTTTTAATTTTTATTCTACTGGAACAAACGTTTTATAACTTGATGTGATCTTGTCGCCTGACGAAAATTGTTCTGACATGTTTTATGAATCAACAACATGTCTACATGTTCTTACAAAAAATGTACTTTCAATGCGAGCGGAAAAATTTGTCCCATTTATAATCTTATGTTATGTTCTAGTTAAAGAGATAATTGAGATGGTAGGCACAATCAAATATCTAGGTGTTATTGTAGATCAGAAACTGAATTTCAAAGGGCATGCATATTGCATTAACAAAAATTGGAATCATTTACAAATGTTCAAGTTATTTAACAAAATGGTCAGAAACTATAATTCATTATACCATTTGACCTAATATTATATTTGCAGAATCAAACCAAAAAATATTGGCTTTAATTACTGCAAAACTGCAATGTCTCAAATTCACCCCAATATGAAATATGTTGAACTCGTTTGAATGATTGCCTATTCGTAAATTTTTTGTACCAAACTCTCATTTTTGTTCATGAATAAAATCATGAAATGGTTATGGCTTTTGCAGATCTAGTGATTGTTAGAGAAAGAGAGAGAAATGTAATTTGAACGAAGAACCAAAAGAATATATTCAGGTTCATCCATTTTAACTATCCCTACTTTTCAGTAGGAAGCTAAGAAAAGGTCCTACTTTTCATTATTTTGTCACCAAAACTGACAAGTTAACAAAAAAGGTAACCTCATAACTAACAAAGGTACATATTTAGTTCTCAAGTAACACTTTATTGTGAGATTTTCACTGAACAGTTTACAAAACTGCAACACGAGTTTCACTATATAATACTGTAACAAATTAAAGAATTTACTGTCTTAAACAAATTTATTTCCAGCAATGTTTCACTAATCACGAACTAATTTATTTACAACACTTAGCAACTAACGCTTCATTTATCTCCACTATTTGAATTCCTTGTTCAACCGCTCGATTCACTTTCTGAACTCAACTAGAGTTTAACCGGCGGTTGCTGCCTGCATTCCTTTTGCGGTGGTGTCATGTGTTTGTTCGCTGGCTGACTCCATCCAATCTTGTTACAGTTCCATTCAAGTTATCTCCATAGCAAGCAATTAGAGCCTTGCAGCAATCAGCCTTGCACATAATTAATATCATTGAGATATATGATGAATGATAATGGACCTAGAACGCTACCCTGGGGCACTCCTTGGCTATTTGATATTTTCTTTGAAACTGAATCATTATATTTAGTCATTTGGAATCTATTGCTCAGGTATGCTTCAAATCACTTCAAAACAGTGCCTTTCAGGCCATTATATTCTAATTTTTTATATATAATTTTATTCATTGTGTACTTTATATTGTATCTATTAATATATTGACATGCCATAAATGTATTTATATATGTAATGTGGTGAAAATATATCTATCTATCTATCTATAAGAATATTGCCACTATGTATTCATTATCATCGATTAACTGTTTCACAAGAGCCTGATTGGTTGCCAAGAAGCAGCTTATTTGTATAAAAATATTGTAGCAATTGATCATGTACTTCTGTAGGCAATCATCCTAACGAGTTCAACATAACCCTAATTGAACTGAGTTTGGAACAAAATAAAACTATTCTCATTCCACAATTTTGCAATTTCTGAAGTTTATTAATCTCATTTTGATTTAGGAAATATAATGTTGTGGAGAAGTAAGTAAAATGGGATAATATAATAGTGTAAAAATTATAGTCGTAATGTCTGCTCAAATTCTACTTTGCTGTATTAGTGTGGGACACTAAGATAACTAAAAAACGCAACACCATTACCATCATTGAGTTCTGTTTAATTTTCAGGTTTCAGAGAGAAGCAGTTAATTGAACTGGAGGATATTATTTTCACTTCTAATCTGCCCTTGCATGAACTCTGGTTGAGAACTGAGAGGCTTCGAGAATCCTGTCATTGGCTTCCTTATTTAGATGATGAAAACTGTGAGGATCCTCAGCGCATAGTATTCACCGAAGATGTAGCTGAGTTGATCCATCCAATCACTGTGGCGGATAACATTTTCAAACTCACGGCAACTGTCTTTTCCCTGTTGAAAATTCCTTTGCTGCCTTGTCGTCACAGCACCATGCGAGATTTAGGTCTCGATTATGTTCCATGGAGTTTAGACTCGATTGAACCACTATTATCAGTGTTCCTGCCTCTTTATCCAGTGGAAATTGCCAAAGAATATTTGTGGATAGATAACCGCCTGGCGGTAGGACCACAGTATTTAAAGAAAATTCCCGGACACGAAGAGTACTTAAATTTCATTATTAAAATAATGGAAAACGCTGCAAGTTGTTTGTCTGGCAGTGACAAAATTGCTATTACTGTATGGTTTTTTAGGTTTCAAAGACTTCTGATAGTACTAGACAGGATGAAGTTATTTACAATAACGGACAGTTTCAAGAAAAACATCAAAAAGAAAATTAAAGAATTCCTTAAACGGGAGGAGAACAGGCAGAATGAAATTTATTATCTGGAGTATGCTTTGATTGAGTATGAACTGGGGAATACCGATAACTGCTTCACAATCATAAATACTGCACTAAGTTTGAATGTTAAACCAAAAATTGTTGCTGAAAATTGGTTACAGTCGCAAACAATATGGTGTTTTCTCTATAGAAATTTGCTTGATTTAATTCTGCATATGAAAAAAGGATCTCTAAATGATAAGAAAGCTCTTGAAGCATTATGTGAAATGATACTCCAAAGAAATAAACCAGAATTGACTGAAAGTGTACTGAATGAAGCAGAAACTAAGCTAGAACTCATCTCAAATCAGTTGATTCAAAATGATATCCCCAAATTACAACCATTGCATCATTTTCTCCCAGATTTTCTTACAGATTGGCTCATGTGTCATGGTTGGTTTATATATCTTAGGAAAGGACCTGAGGAATGTTGTACATTTCTAGCAGCTTCTCTTCAAGAGCTTGAAAAGAAGAATTCAGAGCCTTCATGGCAAAAAGAAGTACTCAACGAATTTTATGTTGCAATTTTATTCAAATATTCTAGAGATAAACCTGCAGGCGGATTAGTCAAACTTCTTGATGAAGTTATTTTTGCTGCAGTGGAAAAGTATCCTAATAATCTACTGCTATTGTCTGTCCTTGAAAGACAACAAACTCTGGTAAACTCTCTAGGACCAAGATGGTGGAAAGTGCAAAATTTACTTCTGAAGTCTGAAAGAGCTTTGTCTTCACTTTTTTCTGTAATAATAGTCAATCAGCAAATGGTGCAGTTACAAGAAGTAACAACTGATACTATTACTGGTAAGTGGTTTAAAGTTAACATTTTTGTACCAAGTAAAGTTTAGGAATCTACATAATTTAATTTTTCACTCAAAAGTTCATTATATAATATATAATATAAGTAGATAGACTTTTAGAAGAAACTATCCAATTTTACAAAAAAATATAACAGTTTGCACTGGTTTTGAATTCTCATTGTTTTTGATTGTCCGAAATCAGTAATTGTGTTGTGGACTGAAATGATTCAGAAAAAACCATGTTCTGTATGTTGTTGGATCTGGACAGCAAACCAAAACAGACTTAATATGTATCTTATTTTTAAAGATTTATTAATCTGGCGAGTAATGATTACATAAGAAATAATTAATGACAAAGTGGATTTCAATTTGGAAATTTTCACTTTGAATGTTCTTGAAATTGCCAATATTTCATTTTTATTAATAATGACATTATTCAGATATTTTTTTCAGATAAGTATTATTTACTGCTCATAGTAAGCAAACAAATTTTAAATAGTGAAGTTTTAAAGGACCTCTGGAAAATTGAATAATTGGTATATTTACTGATTTCAAGTTTCCTTGGTACTGCTTTCTATGACTAAAAATATAATTGATAGAAATAGACATGACTTGGTAGTAGTGACATTTTTTAAAAAGATAATTACAGTAATGCTTCTACAAGCATAATATGTAGTACTTTGTGCTTTTGATGTAGTTCAGACATGATATGAATATATTCTCATCTATATTATGTAACCAAATACATTTTGTGTATAGAGATCAACCAAAGTTTTTAACAAAATTTTTTAGGAGTAGATGTTACGCAAGGGTCTTGTAATCTAGAACTTCCTAATGTCGGAAACACATATGTGTTAACAATCTATCCTTTCAATAGGAACTTTCATCACCTTCACTTGATTGTTTACATTCATAAATTTTTTCGAGATTTTATATATTCCATATTCCACTTTTCAGGTAATAAATATGATGTTAATACTAGCCTGAAAAACAAGATGCTCGCACTGTTCAAAAAAATTACTTCCAATGTCAATACCAGGAAGTGTGGACTAGTATGGAGACTTTATTTGCAGTTTGTTTATACATATTTTTCTCCAGAAATTTGCCGAAACGTTTACTATTCTGCTGTTGAAGAATGTCCATGGCTCAAGGTAATTCAAAAAGTCCAAAATATTGATTTTTTTTTCAAAAGTTTTGTCCGCAAGAACTGGGCGTCAGCTCCCATGTGCTTTTTTAATTGTTTGAAACGTATAAGAAAGGTCAAAGGGTTCGAAAAATGGGTGTCCCACGAATTGATCAACATAAATTGTCACGTTTCGAAGTTTGTTCTTTGCTTTTGCGCAACCAAAACGATCCTTTTTGGATTAGATCAGCATGTGTGATCAAGAGTGGATCATCTATGACAACAGGATACCCAGCCACTTTCCAAAGGGGAAAACCTACCAAAAAAGACCATGGTTACTGTATGGTGGTCAGCGGCTGGTGTGATTCACTATAACTTTCTGCAACCAGGCCAAACCATTGCAAGAGAGTCATATTGCGAGGAAATCGACGAAATGTATCGAAAATTTCGTCAGCAGCAGCCGGCACTGGTCAACAGAAGTCTGATTCTTCTCCATGACAACGTCCGTCTGCACGTTTCACGAATCACCGTCTGAAAATTAAATGAATTGAGCTTCAAAGTTCAGACTCATCCACCAAACTCCCCAGACTTCTCGCCAACCGACTACCATCTTTTCAAGCACTTTGATAACTTTCCACTTTTCAGTCTTCATTGAATCCGTAACACATTTTTATGCTTAAGCAATTAATCAGCTTGGTTTACGTTGACAAAAGTACACTTATTAAATTGGCGCTCATTTCGATTAAATTGAATAAGTGTTCATTGAGATATTACAGTTTGAAGTTGACTTATAAAAACGGACAAAACTTTTGAAACAACCTAATAGTTCCTTGCATTTTGCAATTATTAATTAGAAAAATAAACTTGATATTGAACATCTATCTATAACTGGAAGTCGGCTGAAATCATTCATGAACTTTATTTTTAAACTATATTCATTTCAGGCCTTGTACATTGATGCGGCCATTTATATACCAGCAGAACTGCCCCAAATTCAGGATCTTATAATTGAGAAGCAGCTCAGGTTACACGTTACTCCTGAAGAATTGGATGTGTTGAGGAATTAATTGTTTATGTGAATCCTGTGATATTTATGTTAAGTTGAAAATCACCTAATAATTATTGATTAAACCTTTTTTTATAAAGGGGTGTTACCATTCTTGTCATTCATCAGGGCCTATTGACCATGCGTTTTCTTGAGAAATGTTCAGTTAGAAATCACCCTTATTGTGAATGGTGCAACAACAGCTAAAAAAACTGGGTTTCTCAATTATCCATTTCAGAACTACAATTTCCACTAGTAAAAAGTGTTGAAAAGAAAATTGAAATGCCTAAAAGTTGCTAGAGCCCTCTGGCGACTAGTGATACTATTGTATTTCCTAAAGTACTAAAACCGTAACCATGTAAATTTTTTGCGTCCTTGAAATTCTGTAACTTGAAAAGTTGAGAGATTGATATGATTCAAGTCCCCAATCTATAAAAGAACTCGGTTCTAGTTAATCAAGGTAATTATCCCTTATTACATGTTTCCTAATACACGGCTTACTTTAATTTCATTGCCTTAAACCTTTCTCGTAATCTTAATTTTGGACATTTTTGTCGGGTTAAAACAAAAATTGATTCACAGGACCAACGTAGCCAGATATAATTGATAGATTTTATTATTGTGACTGTTATAAATATTACTGGAGTAGGAAAATCAAACAGTTTGATCTTCCTCTTGAAGATGATCACTTGGTGATTTAAACTCATGTCAAGGTGATAAAATAATGGTTTGGTGTTGGGAAAAAACTCCGGTAATATTCAATACTACACCAAAGGTTCCAAACAGTGCATCACAAGTGACTGTTATAGATAGCAAATTTCTAATATGTTAACTCTGTCTTAGTACATATAGTTAAGACAGTTAAGATATAATGTTCCATTAGCTTTCAATATTTTGGTCTAAGGTTCTTCAAGATGCTGCCCGACATCTAATATTCTTTGAAAGACATTTTGAGGCATTTTTACAAAATATTTAGGTTTTGAGAAGAGAAAAAGACTGCTTTCCAAAACGGTCACCTGTTCATGGAAAATAATAATATACATTATTTCCTCCTTCAATGAAAATTAAGATTTTATAAAGCTTTTCTTTTTGTTCCATTCAGGACAAGAAAATATTTCCTTCACGATATCCGAAATGGCTTTAGATATCAGAAAGCGTTTGGTATTAATGTCCTGCACAGTAAATGTAGATTGTCATTCTGTATAATGTACAAAAACAAGTTTCATTTATACACTCAGAAAATTGATTTTGAACTAATAATAATTGTAAAGATTTCAGCACTCATTGGAATGAAGTATGATAGGATTGTATCATGAAATAAAATATGAACAACTATATTTATTGCTTTAGAAATATATCAAGATGATAACAGTCATTTAAAAAAGTAACAATTATACATATAACTTAAAATTTTCTGAATTAAAGCACTCAAAATGTGAATTGATGTAGTACATGTCAAGTTTCATCACAATCGGTTAAGCGATGTAGAAGTTTATCACTTACCAACCAACCAACAAACATCCATTTTTTGGCGAGTTACAGAANATTTCGACATGGGGGATGATTATGATAAGCACTCTTCTGCAGTGTTTCTGAAACTAACAGAAGCTATAATTGATATTTACAGAATTATATTCACTAAATATAATAGGATCCAAAGGAAATATACGTTGTTTGATAAATTCAGAATACACACCAGGTAATTTGTCCAACTTGTTATTCTTCCATTCATCAGAACCGTCACAACAATCACATATCCCATCATTCACTTTAGAGGAATGTATAGATTTCGGAATTCGTTTTTGGTTGGCGCAGTAAAAGATTCCATTACTGCACGCATTAGTACCAGGTTCATCAGAACCGTCCATACAATCACAATAATCGTCGTTAATTCTATCATAATGAATTATTTCCATACTATGGATACATATGAATGTATTTTCTTCATTTTGTTGGTAAAACCTTGCCTGTAATTCATGTGTTCCCCTTATGAGTACCGATTTAATTGTTACTTTCAGTTGTCCAGATAATTCCACGAATATTGATATTTGATACAATATAAAAATTAGTGATGCTAATATAAGTGGTATGATGAAAAAAGATATTCTTTTTCTGGAATAGGACAAATATTTTTTATGTATCATTACATACCAGTCATAAAAATAGCTGTTTATATTTTACTGAGAGATCAAGCTTATTTGTGAAATTATCCATTAATTTCCCCTAATTAATTTCAATTAGCTTGAATAAATAACCAGAAATGAATTCAAATTTTTCATAACCATTAACCACAGATATGACAAGTTGGAGTTTACATTCTGTGGTTTAATATTCTGTGGACTGGTCATCGAAAAGAGAGAACATAGCATTGACACACATACTAAAAAGGGATAGATGCCATAGGTGGCAAGTATGGCTAAATAAACGGTAACGTTTCATTTCTATGTATGACGAAAAATATGAATGCATAATCAAACAAGTAACTATTTCCCGATATTTGATTTCTGATGGATAATGAATGTTTAATCGAACAATGAAAAAAGAAATAGAGTACCTACTTTTTTATTTATTCGTTCCTGAATTTGCGACTTGCATGTTTTGTTTTACGATGTTCGTTTCGAAGTTAATTTGTGAATTTAATCACCTTAAACATAATTTGAGTGTATTTAGGATTTTTTCAATTTTACTTTGATATTTTGACTAACTCTCTTAATTTTGAAATTAATAATTCCATTTTCAGATCACCAGTTTGCCAATTCATTACTATTGCATGCTAGGATGACTGAAGAAATACATACATCATCTACCTGTAGATCAGAATGAGAGAGTCATGAACTCTACATCACCAAATTTTGATCTAGAGGAGTCCATGTCAGAAAATATAGCTCTTAACTCACATTCATTGTCTCATGTAGAATTGACAAATTTTATTGTATCTAAGGAATTGAAGGGGGTCGATGTGGTGAGTGTATTTCATATAAATATACAATGCCTATCAAATAAAACTGAAGAAATTGATCTTTTTCTGAACAAATTCAATTTTGATATAATATGTCTATCAGAACATTGGCAAGAAAAAACAAATCTTGAAAGTATCAACATCTCAGGATTCTCTCTGGCAGCAGAATTCTGTAGAATACATAATAGACATGGAGGAGTAGCTATATTTACAAAAAATAAACTAAACCATTAAAACTAAAGAATTTGAATGATGAGATAAACTCTGAATTTTGTGGCTTAGAATTATCAAACACTTTACAGATCCTGCTTGGGAAATGCTGAAATTTTCTTGGTAAACCTGGAAAATTTATTAAATAAATACGTAAGAGGTAAAAATAAAATCATAATACTGGGTGATTTTAACATTAATTTCAAGTCGAATTCGAATGTCTTATCTGAATTGAAATGCTTACTAAATTCGTTTGGCCTCACTATAATCATATCTGAATTCACCAGGATAACAGCATATTCATCCAGCTGCATTGATAATGTATTGACAAATATAGAGAAACAGAACATGTCTTCAGGTGTATTGGATCCATGTCTGTCTGACCATATTGGACAATATATAATCTTAAACAAAATCACTGAATGTAAACCCGACATAATTATGAAAAGATCTTTATCTTACTCCTCAATGTAAAAATTCAGAGAATACCTCAAGAGTATTGATTGGGGTATTTTTGAAAATACAAATTTAGGTATCAACTTTCTAGCAAATTTCCTGGTTGATACTTGAGCTGATTATGAGGGAGTACACTTTCCATATAAAAAGTATAAAATTGGAGAAAAACCGCCAGTTATATGGTACAATAATTCTTTGAAGGAGAAGAGGGACACACTTTCAATAGTAAAATGTATCTATGATACAAAGAAAAATCCTACTGATAAGGTGGCATACAATTCACTTAAGAAAAGCTACAGGAAGGAATTGAAAGAAGCAAAAAGAAATTCATATGGACATTATATCAGTACATCAGAAAACAAATCAAAAGCTAGTTGGCAAATTATAAACTATGAGTTAAATAGGAAAACTAAATGTAACCCTGAAACTCCAATATGTGAAACCTCTTTCAACACTCACTTCACAAGTGTTGCTGGAAATATAATAAACCAGTTACCCAATATACCAGACGAATTGATCCAATACAAACATTTTCCTGTGCCATGCAATTCTTTTTTCCTAACGGGAGTCACAAGCTATGAGGTTCTTGATGCAATTAATGCATTAAAAAATTCGAAATCCGAATCCGAAATCCTATTCATAAAAAGGGAGATATTACAGAAATTGACAATTATAGACCAATATCCATTATTTCCATATTTGCTAAAATCATCGAAATAATTCTGAAAAATAGACTAGTGAAATATTTTGAAAAAAACCAATTTTTGAATAATGCACAGTATGGGTTTCGACAAAATCGCTCTACAACTCTTGCAATTCTTAATATATTGGAAGGCATAGTTGAGGGTCTGGAACAAGGTGTACTCACGGATATTACACTCTGTGACTTGTCGAAGGCCTTTGACTGTGTCTCTCATGAGATACTCATTTTGAAACTCAAATATTACGGTATTAGAGGGGTGGCATTGAAGTTATTCAGTTCATATTTAGAAAATAGAAAACAATGTGTTACTGTTAACCAAAGAAACTCGGACTTTCTACCTATAGAACATGGTGTCCCACAGGGGTCAGTGCTAGGGCCATTCTTATTTGTAATTTATATAAATGACCTATGCACCTTCCTATTACCCAATAAAAGTGTTCTATTCGCCGACGACACTACTTTGATGAGTACCGGTAAAAACCTTATGGAACTCACTTCTTCTTCTTATAACATTGAAAAACGTGCTGAAAATTGGTTTACTGCAAACAAACTCAAGTTGAACGCAAGCAAATCCTAAAAAATAACCTTCTCCTCTAATATGAACTTACAAATGGGAAATACTGTCAAGCTACTCGGAATTGTTATTGATGACAAACTCACATGGTCGAATCACATAGAACAGCTCTGTAACAAATTAGCAAGTACTCTATTTCTCTTGAGGCAGTTAAAAAAAGCAAATCAACCTGATACTCTGAGAATGACATATTTCTCTCTGT